ATGAACTTTGTGGGAATGACTTTCTGGGAAGGGGAGGAAGGAGCAATATATTGAACATGATATAAAAACAAAAGATATCGATAAAATAAGATTTTAAAAAATAGTAGTTGGTTGTTAGATGTCAGATGGACACCCAAACATCTGTGGCTGTGGATGCAGCAGCAAATTAATGTGTCATGCCCAAACTCATATTTGGCCTTCTTTCTTTGGAGCTGGCCTCTCCCATAATCAAGGGGCCGGGTCAGCAACCTGTACCTGGCATAGTGCTCAGGCCTGGATGCTCTTCTAGGCAAGGAAGACCAATATTCAGAGGCAGTGTTGTTTGGAGGAAAGCACCCTGGATTTGAAAATTAGGAAGTCCTGGGTTTATTGAAATTCTGTCTCTGAACCTGGGGCTCTGATACCTGCTCATCAGTAACAGCATGAATTTGACATCAGAGAAACTGAGTTCATATTCCTACGTATGTCACCCACATAGTAGGTATTTAATAAATGTTTATTGGATGATTAATTGGTCGTTGTCCCTATCTGCACCTCAGTTTCCTAATCTGTAAAATGGGGAGGCGGGAGAACTGGAGGACCTCTAAGGGCTCTTCATTTTGGTTTTTGTTTTTTGTTTTTTGGCTAGGCAATGGGGTTAAGTGACTTGCCCAGGGTCACACAACTAGTGTTATGTGTATGAGGTCACATTTGAACTCAAGTCCTCCTGAATCCAGGGCTGTATCCACTGTGCCACCTAGCTGCCCCTAGGGCTCTTCAATTTTGATGATTCTACTTATACATCTAGCTCACAGAACTAAAGCGCTTCCCCTCCTCCCCCATTTAAGTTTGTATGGCTCTCTTTTTTTTACTATCACCTTCCTTTCCCAATAATCTTTCCCTTTAACCTTTAAAACACAGAAGAAAAAGAGAAAAAAGAAAAACAATGTGGCCACACACTAAGCCACACATCAACTAGGTCTGAAAATGTTTTGTAAACCTTAATGTGGGGGAGGAGCCAAGATGGCAGAGTAAAAGCAGTGACTTGCTTGAGCTCTCCCCCAAACCCCTCCAAATACCTGTTAAAAAATGGCTCTAAACAAATTCTATAGCAGCAGAACCCACAAAAAGACAAAATGAAACAAATATCCAGCCCAAGACAACCTGGATGGTTGATCGGAAAGGTATATCGTGCCGGGCAGGGAGAGAAGCGCAGTTTGGCGTGGGCGCAGGTCGCAGTGACCCTGGAGCAGGCCTCAGAGGACTGAATCTCGGGCAGCTGTGGCGGTTTCCAGACTTCTCAACCTATGAAGGCCAAAGACAACTTAGAAGGTCAGTGGGAAAAGTCTGTGTCTGTGGTGAGACAGAGAAGCTAGGGGTCCCAGCCCCATTCCCCGAGCTAGGCCCTGGGGTGGGGCTGCTTCCTGAGCTTCCAGCCCACAGACTGAGTGGGAATCGAGTGGCTGATCAGAGGGGGATTACAGGGATCTCTCTGCTGGTGCAGGATTCTCTTGCTTTGCCTATGCTTGAATCTGGGTCACAGTTCTGGGTGGCAGTCCTGGGGTGAGGAGGAGCGCTGGCATGGTGGAGCTTGTAGTGGCTGTGGAGAGGAAATCCTCCTCACAGTTCCAAGACAGAAAAGAGTGCTTGTGGTCACTCATAGAGCAGAGCAAATGACAGGAAAAGAGTAAACACCTCACCCTTGATCATAGCACCTTGGAAGAACTGAAAATTTACAGGTCCGTAGAAGTATCTCTGAAAACAGCTTCACAAAACCCCTGAAGCTTGGGACAGTACATTCTCTACACTGGAAATAGACCCCTACCTTAACAAAGAGTTTACAACTCAAGTAATTGGCCCCAGGATCATGAGTAAGCAGCGCAAAAAGAGTCAGACTATATTATCTTACTTTGGTGACAAAGAAGATCAAAACATACAACCAGAAGAAGACTACAAAGCCAAAGCTCCTATATCCAAAGCATCCAAGAAAAATATGAATTGGTCCCAGGCCATGGAAGAGCTCAAAAAGGATTTTGAGAAGCAAGTAAGAGAAGTAGAGGAAAAACTGAGAGTGATGCTAAAGGAGACCCAAAAAAATACTGAAGAAAATAACACCTTAAAAAATAACCTAACCCAAATGGCAAAGGAGGTTCAAAAAGCCAATGAGGAGAAGAATGCCCTAAAAAGCAAAGGAGTGGTTTGCCATTTCCTTCTCCAACTCATTTTACAGATGAGAAACTGAGGCAAATAGGGTTAAGTGACTTGCCCAGGGTCCCATGGCCATTAAATGTCTGAGGCCAGATTTGAACTCAGGAAGATCAATATTCCTGATTTCAGACCTGGCAGTCTATTCACTGAGACACATGAGTATGAGGGTTCAGTGGCTCTGCTAGTTTTCCATCCTTACCAATGGAGATAGCCCCTACTGGACACATAAGAGATGCTTAATAAATGCTTTATGGACAGGAAATTTCAAACAATTTAGAGATCCTGTTTAATATTAAAAAAAAAAAAAAACAAACCTAAGTGTGCCATATGCTGCTGGGCTTGTTATCAGGAAGACTCATCTTCCCCCATTCAAATCAGGCCCTGGACACTTTTACTAGCTGTCTGACCCTGGGCAAGTTACTGTTTGCCTCAGTTTCCTTATCTATAAAATGAACTATAAAAGGAAATAGTAAACCACTCCAGTATCTTTGCCAAGAAAAACCCCAAAGGGGTCATGAAGAGTGGGAAACAACTGATTATTATTATTATTACTACTATTATTATTCAGAGTTGGCCCTTGCTTAGCAAGTATGTACTCTGTGTCTTCCAACAGCACCTCTGCCCCTCAGCCAGGGTGTGCATACAACACAGCCTCTGGTTTCCCACCTTTTATAGGGGCATGAAATCAAATTCAATAAGTGTTGATTAAATGCCTATTTAGTGTGCCAGGAACTGTGCTAACACTCCCCAGATAGAGTGACAAACACCTTGAAGGCTTCCAAGTGACCTACTTACTGCTAGTACCTTACTTTTCTGCCCTGAAGAGGTCTTAGCCTTCTCCAAACAAGAGGATTAATAACTGGAGAGTGGGCAAATTCAAAGGCTTTAGGCCAGGGGTGAGGAACCTGCAGCCTGGAGCCCACTGTGGCTTCCTTTTCTTAAGGGGATTTGTTCCATGAAGTTTGGATTCAGTCAAAGGGCCAAACTTGAGGATCTAGAGGGCCACACATGGCCTCAAGGCCTTAGGCTATACAGGGAAAACCTCTGCTATCTGGGTCCTAAAGCTGGCTTCACAATTTACTCGTTGTTTGTCCTTTGTTCTGGAAGACAACCATGACATCAGGGAGGTAATGCCATGCAAGTGAACTGGATTTAAGTGAGGAAGGGCTGTGCCAAGTGACTAGTCTCACTTTCTCCTCCAGAGCCTTCTGGGTCCACACTTACCTGTGTGGCCTCAGAGAAATCACTTTGCCCCTTGGGTTCTTGCTTTCCTCCCCTGTAAGAGGGTTCTATTAGAAAACTTCTAACAAGATGCCTCCCACCTTTGATCTCAAAGGAAGGTAGGAAGAGGTAAGCCAGGACTGGGAGGTTTTAACCACATTGTAGGTGGCCTTAAATTGGAGTCAAGAGTCTAAACTTTAAGTGGGAACCACTGAAGGATTTTGAACGAAGCATTAATCAAATGCTTACTGTGTGCAAAACGCTAGGGAGCTCACAACCCATGTGGAAGGTTTCAGCTGCAATTCAAATAGAAAAATCCCACGATCTTTAGAGTGCATCAGTAGAGGATAATGCCTCTGCTTTTAAGTCGTTTCCATTGATCAAATCAGATCAGGCTGGATTATTTCACAGTGCTGAGGGCTTTGGTGACAAAGTGGACAGTAATAATAATAATAGCCTTGTAGTGGGAGATATGTATGTACATGTGTGTATATATGAATACATATGAGTATATTTTATATATATATATATATATGTACGTTTGTATAATAGGTGGACATTGTATTGTGGGCAGCTAGCTGGTGAAGTGGATAGAATGTGCCAGGCCTGGAGTCAGGAACACCTGAGGTGAGATCTGGCCTCAAACACTTTCTAGCTGTTGTGACCCTAGGCAAGTCACTTAACCCTGTTTGCCTCGGTTTCCTCATCTATAAAAGGAGTTGGAAAAGGAAATGTCAAACCACCCCAGTGTCTTTACCAATAAAACTCCAAATGAGGTCACAGAATAGTCCAACAAGACTGAAAAATGACTGAACAACAACATTGTATTACGTATATGCATCTCATCTATCCAATTTCCTTTGATTCTTACAACCCTGGGAGGTAGGCAGATGAGGAAACTGAGGCAGATAAGTTAAGTGAGGGTCACTCGGTGAGGCAGGATTTGAACTGCTCTTCCTGACTCCAGCACTCTAGGCACTACTAAGAGAACGAGTGACCTGGTCATAGTTGAAAGGCCAGGTAAAGTATTCCAGTAAGTGAAGAGAAGGATGAGGGGACATTCTTGCACTAGGTATAGCACAAAGACACTTCGGAGTCGCCCAGGTCCCTGGCACATAGCCCAGATTAGGTGGCACTGTAGCGTGCATGGCAAGCATATGAGATAAGGTTGGAAGGGTGGTGCATGGCTACATTGTGGAGAACCTTGAACGTTTCCAAGAACTTTACTCAGGAGGTAACAGGGATCCCCTGAAAATTTCAGGACAGTAGATGGACATTCTTCTGCTATTAGAGGCTCATCTTGCATTTCAATATGCATATTTTTGTAGACGGATGCATCAAATGCGCGCACAGATCTTTTCCCGCCAGGGCTCCCCTAGCAACCTCAGCGCTCTCCCTCCCAGATTTAGGGTGGGGCGCAATCCGCAAGGGAAAACAACTGGTGCCCAGGGCTGCGAGGGCTACACGGGGCTCAGCTCGCTCCTCCCACCCCAGCCCTGCCCGCCTCCCGCAGGAAGGGGGAGGCGCACAGAGGGCGAGGGCGCACGGCGGGCGTACGTTTAGGGCGCAGAGCGGACGCATCCCTAGCACCCCCGCGGGAGAGCCTGACACAGAGGCGGGGAAGGTGACCGGACCACGAGGCGGGGCCGGAGGCGGGGCCCCGTGGCGCAGTAAGACCATGACTGGCGTGGTGGCTAGGCTGCAGACCGTGGGGAGCTGTGCCGCGGTGAGAGGGGCCGGAGCTGGACGGGCTGCCTGCTATCCTCAGTCCCCCCATACCCACCCCGGCTGGCCTCGACCCCTCCCCGAGGACCTTCCTTCCCTCCTCCAGCTCCTGAACCTGTCCTTGGGTTCTCTCCTCTCTCTCTAGCTCCCCTTCTTTCCCCTATTTCTTCCCTCCCCGGGTTCTCCAGTCCTTCCCTCCTTTAATCTCCCTACCTCCCTCCCGATGCCTTTTCTTCATCTCCACTAGTCACCTTTCTCCCCTAGTCACCTTTCTCCCCTATCCCTTAAACTCTTTGCCTCCCCCAGTCTTTTCTCCCCGTGGTCCCTTTTCCTAAGTCTTTTTCCCAATCTCCTCCAACCTTCTCTTCTTTATGCTTCCCTTCCCTTCCCAGGCCCTCTTTTCCCTCCTACACCCTGCCCCCCCCATTCCCCTTTGCTCCAATTTCTCAACTATAAAACTGTTAAAAAAAAAAATGGACTTAAGGACCTCTGAGGTCTCTTCCACCACTCTGAAACCTTTGATCCTTCTTCCTCAGCCCCGGGGATAACAACTGAAAGACCGATACATTTGGAATCAATACAGTTGAAATCCTGGGGGATCTTTACTACTTGTCTGACTTTGGGCAAGTTACCCCACTTCTCTGGGCCTTCATTTTCTCATCTGTAAAATGAAAGAGGGCTGGACTAGAAGGTCTTTAAAAAAGTCCTGCACTTCCTGGTTCTCCCCCTGTTTCTTCTGGCCCCTCTGCCTTCCATTCCCGAATTCTGTTGGGTTTTCTCAGGTGATGGTGGTTTAGTCATTTTCTGTCTTGCCTGTCTCTTTGTGACCCATTTTGAGGGTTTTCTTGGCAAAGTTACTGGAATGATTTGCCATTTCCTCCCCTAGCTCATTTTACCGATGAGTAAACTAAGGCAAACAGGGTTAAGTGACTTGCCCAGGGTCTCACAGTTAGGAAGTGTCACATTTGCACTCAAGTCCTCCTGACTCCAGGCCCAGGACTCTATCCATTTCACCACCTAGCTGCCCTGGGTCTTCTCACATCTTTCTATAAATTCTCTTCCCTTTACTTCATCCTTTTGTTTACCTTCTTCTTGTCTCTCATTTCCTCTTATCTCAGTTTCTTTCTTTCCCCTTTGCCTCGTCCTTCCTTTCCTCAACCTTGGGTAGTGGATTAAAATATGTAGGGTGGAGGAACAAGTTTCCCCTCTACTACCTTAAAGCTCCAGGATCAGCTTTTAAAAACTTATTTTGTTTTTCCCTCTTCTCTTTTTCCGCTGTTCCTGTCCCCATCACAATCTGGTTCTTACTTCACATCTCACACCAGAGTGCACAGCTGAAGTGGAACCAGATCAGGGTGTTTTCCTCTTGGCTGGTAAGTAAGTACTCACATGCATTCCTTCCCTTGAAGTAGCTTGTAATAATGGCTAGAATCCTGAATTTAGAATCAGGAAAACCTGGATGCAATTCCCTATCTCAGATATGGTTTCCCCATCTGTAAAATGGGCATAGTAATAACATCTAGCTTAGAGGGTTGCTGGGATGATGATATGTGTGTACATATATATGTATATATATGTGTGTGTATGTGTGTATATACATACATACATATAGAAAGCATACCTTAAAGCTCTGTATCAGGAGTTCTTATCCTTTTTTATGGGCATCATGGAACCCTTTTGAAAGCTGGTGAAGCCTAGGCACCCCTTCTCAGAATAATGCTTTTAAATGTATAAAATACATAGGAATACAAAGGAAGCCAATTATATTTAAGTAGTTATCAAACTATTTAAAAAACAAGTTCATTATGCCCCAAGGGCTATAAAACTGTGCATCCCCTTTGATCCAGCAATACCACTTCTAGGTCTGTATCCCAAAGAGATCAAAAGAAAAAAGAAAAGGACCCACATGTACAAAAATGTTTATAGCAGCTTTTTGTGGAAATTGAGGGGATGCCCATCAATTGGGGAATGGCTTAACAAATTGTGGTATGTTGTATGTGGTATGTGGTATGTGATTGTGATGGAATACTATTGTGCTATAAGACCATGCTATAAAACCATGACAAGTGGGATGGTTTCGCAAAAACCTGGGAAGACTTACATGAATGGATGCAAAGTGAAGTGAGCAGAGCCAGGAGAATGTTATACATAGTAACAGCAATATTGTAACAGTGATCAACTGTGAATGACTTAGCTCTTCTCAGCAATACTATGATCCAAGACAATTCCAAACAACTCATGGGGAAACTTGTTCCTCCATCCTAAATGCTATCCCCCTCCAGAGAAAGAACTGATGAAGTCTGAATGCAAATCAAAGCATACTTTTTTAAAGTTTATTTTTCTTGTGGTTTTTTTTTGTTTGTTTTGCTTTTGTATTTTTGGTCTGTTTTCTTTTGAAACATGGCTAATATGGAAATGTTTTACATGACTGCACATGTATAGTCTATATCAAATTGCTTGCCTTCTCAAGGACAGGGGAGGGAAAGAAAAGGAAGGAGGGAGAGGATTTGGAACTCAAAATTAAATGTTAAAATTTGTTCTTACATGTAATTGGGAAAAAATAAAATATAAAAATTTAGGAAAAAGAAACAAAAAAGCAAGTTCATGGACCCTCAGTGAACAGTTTGTACAATAACTACACTGTAAAAACAAAACTTAGAAAGACTTAACTCTGGTCAACACCATAGCTAACCCCAATTACAGAGGACCAATGTTGAAATATGTTACCTACCTCCTGACAGGGGTGATGGACTAATATTCAAAATGAGATATACATCTTTAGATATGGCCAATATGGGAATTTGTTTTGCTATATACATATATATAGATATATACATATATCTATATCTATAGATATAGATATAGATATATATACATACACATATATACATAAGGCTTTTTTCCCCTCGGTGGGGAAATGGGTTGGAAAGGAAAAAATAAATTTTTAGAGGGGTGGGATAGGATGAAAGGAAATATAATTAGTTTTTCACAACATGGCTATTATGGAAGTGTTTTGCATGACTACAAATGTATAACCTATATCGAGTTGCTTGCCTTCTCAATGAGGGTGGGTGGGGAGGGAGGAAGGGAGAAAATTTGGAACCCAAAGTTTTAAAAACAAATGTTAAAAATTGTTTTTACATGCAACTGGGAAATAAGATATACAGGCAATGGGATATAGAGATCTATCCTGCCCTACAGGAAAATAGAAGGGGAAGGGGAAAAGAGATGGAGGGAGGGGATAGAAGGGACGGCAGATTAGAGGAAAGAATGCATGACGTCTTGGGGTGGGGGGAGGGGAGAGATGGGGAGAAAATTCGGAACTCAAAATCTTGTGGAAGTGAATCTTGAAAATTAAAAATAAATAAATAAATTTTTTAAAAAAGTATTTGAGGTCAGAAGACCTGGTATCAAACCCAAACTCTGTGATTGATTACCTATGTAACTTTGGGTAAGCCACTCCTTTCTTCATCTATAATATGAGCAGCTTGGGATATATGACTTCCAAGGGCCCTTCTGGTGCTGAATTTATTGCTTAATAATTTCTTATGTACATCTTATGTACATTGTTAATTCGACAAACATTTATTAAACATTTATCATATTTATTAAAAAAAATTTTTTTTTAAATTCAATAAATTGAAAGAATAGGGAAAAGCCCTACTTTGTATAAAGATTGTTAAACTTATCCCTTTCGTGTTTATCCATAGAACAAATGGTTTCCAAGAAAGAAGCCTGTGATTGCTCAGAAAAAGCCCATCAAGGTATTCCTGAAGGCAGGGAAAACATATAAATGGTGTGTGTGTGGCCGAAGTAAGAACCAGGTAGGACTCTCTATAAGAGTAGGTATTGGGTGGGGGGCATCCCTGGCATCCTCTGGGACCCCTCCCCATTCTGCCCTCTCTTCCTGATGGCTCCAAGAGACTCTAACACCCTCTCTACCCCAGTAAAATCTTTCTGAAAGTGGGGGAGGAGGGGAGGCAGGTATAGCTTGTAAGTCATTCCTAAGCTTATCTCATTTTTATTGGGACCTGACCTTCCTAATCTTCCCCATTTCTTGTCAATTCACTTCCCTCTCCCTACCTTTGAAAACAGATTCAGTATTCTCAAGAAGCCATCTCCAGTCAACTTCCTCTGACTTGAGTGGCTAGCTCCTTGACTCTGCCTTCCTTATCAGACTGGGGACTCCCTGAGGACAGGTTTCAGTCTGGCTCTGGAGCTCCCTCCCCATCCCAGCTTAGCATCCAGCACAGGGACCTGAAAGGGACCGGCCCTGGGTAGTTGTGTTTACGGCCTTCGTTTCCTCTGTAGCCCTACTGTGATGGCTCCCACTTCTTCCAGCGAACAGGCCTGTTCCCCCTCAGGTTCAAAGTTGAAGAAGACCGTTCCGCTGTTCTTTGCAACTGCAAGGCAACCATGAAGCCCCCATATTGTGATGGCACTCACAAGAGTGAACGAATACAGAATGCCCAAGAGGGTTCTCCACTCTGATCAGCATACCACACCGAAGGTGTTGGGTTTGGGTTGGCAGCATCTTCTCTGACATGGGGACCTCCCTTCAGGACACCTTGGAGGGCTTGGCTGCCATCCCACCAGGAGATCCTCCACACCTGGGTCTAGACTGAGCCTGTGTCTCCTCCATAGGTGGGAGGCTTTTGGTGTCATTCTGGATTTGGTCTCTTGACCTGTTGGTCGGAGTATAAGGATCCATGGTCCCCTCCACCCACAGAACCCAGGTGTATGTATTCATCCCCATCTGGCACCATTAAATATATCTAGTAATGCTTTTTCTCAAGTGTTGTTTTTTCTTAATTTTCATTAATGTGAGAGGAGGGAAGATCTAGTTCCAGGACTGGTGGCTTGACACATTTCTGTCTCCCCTGTTTGACGTTTTCCTAACATTAGATGTCAGCCGCTCACCTAACTCCCTCATCTGACATGTGAGGAAACTGAGGCTTACATTAGAATGTATTCTCCTTGAGGGGTCTTTCTTTGTATCACCAACACGTATCACCTGGCACACAGGAACAAGCTTGTTGATGAAGGCTTGAAGACTTCCGTTTACCACTCCCAGTGGTAAAGCTGGCTTCAGTTTTACTGGGTAGTATGGGTCTTCTATTTCCAGAGTCCTTTATACCCCATCCAAATCTATTTCCCCCTGCGTTTGCCTCTTCTCCCCTTGGCTTTGGAAGCTACACATGTGCTCCTTATGAATAAGGAATTTTACCTTCATTCAGCTTGTATCCCCAGTGCCTAGCATAGTGCCTGGGACATAGTAGGTGTTTAATAAATGCTTATTGATTGGGCTGGAAAAATGCACTTGGTCAATGTAAATGTAAAGTGCTTTGCAAACTTAAGTACTATATTTTATTAATATATATCATATTAAATACTAATATTAGCAGTGATGTTACTAAATATAATAATGGTTTCAAGGTTCTTGAGCCGTATCCCCTTTTCCCCCTGTCTGTCAAAGACACCTCCCCCCCCAACACCCTATGGCTTAGGAAAAATCTTTACAGACAGGGAAGTTGCCAATTCTAGAATTAAAATCCTGAATTGTGGGTCTAGGGAATTGAAGCAGAAAAAAAAAAAACCACTAGGCATTCTGTACTGCCATCGTGTGGCATAGTGGATAGAGAATTAGCCCAGGGAGTGAGGATAGCCTAGATTCAGCTTTTGTTTCTAACAAATGCAAGGTGTCCCTAAAGTCTTAGTGCACTAAGACTTTTGGGGTGCTCTCTATTAGCTGTATGACTCTGACTTAAGTCACTTAATCTCTCTAGGCCTCAGTATCCTCTTCTCTAAAATGGGGGTGACCTACCTCACAGGGCTCTAGTGAGGCTAGGCTGAGGTCATTGAGAAGCAGCCTGGAGCACTGGATAGAATGCTAGACTTGGGAGTCAGGAAGACTTAGTTTCACATCGCTGTTAGCTACCCACTAGCTATGTGAACCTAGCTCAGTCCCTTGACCTTTCTGGGCCTCAGTTGCCTCATCTGTAAAATGAGGTCAGACTATCTGAACTTTGAGGTCCCTTCCAGTTCTCAGTCTATGAGCATAGAATGCTTTGCAAACCTTCAAAGTGTTTTCTTTTTTTAAAAATGAATTCTCCCATGCTTCCATGGGGGAATGGGGATGGCTGCCCTTTCTTGACTTTTGGGGGGTAGGGGTAGTGTCACACTGAGGTCATAAAGTGGCTGAGGGTTAAAGGATCCTGTTTAACAATGGACTCCCCATCACAAGCCACACCCCACCCCCCAAAAAGAAAAGCACTCACAAACCCATGGAGAATCTGCAGCATTTATTACAAAGCTGATTAGTCGTACAAACGCCAAGGCAGGGGGGAGAGAGGGGACACACACAGATCACAGGACCCGCAGCAAGGACAGGATGCACACAGACGAAGCCATTTGGTTGACTGTACCCCTACAGAAGAGTCAGGGAGTGGTGCCCTGCCTCCTTCCCCCCATCCCACCTTCTCACTATTTACACTAGAGGAGTGACAGGGCCAAGCTGGGGTCACTTGAAAAGGAGCAAAGATCAGAGGAGAAGCCCAACCCAGCCCTGTAACAAAGTAATTCAGCCTTCCACTGGATGGGGCTAACCCTAACCCACCCCACCCCAAACCAAGGTGTCTGTTCAATCTGCAGGCAACAGCCCTGGGGAAAGAGGAACCCTGGTAATCCTACCTTTGTCTTGTGCTTTGAGATCCCCCTTTACATCTGTCCTGAACTTGGGGCCCCTGGGCAGGCGGAGGTGGAGGGGGAGCTGCTGACCCTCCTAGGGACTTTTCCCAAGTCTGGTGTCAGTGTGCTTGTGTGAGGTTCAAATGCCCTCTCCCCACAAAGTCCCAAATGTAGGACTTCACTTGCAGCCTCAGTTAACCCCTGGCAACAGGGGAATGGGGGGGGGGAGGAGTAGGGGAAGAGTGTCCACACTGGGAAAGCTTCCAGGTGGCTTCAGGAGCTGCTGATGTCTCCTTTCCCCCCCCCCCCTCCCCCCTCAAGTTCTCTCCTTCAACAAGATTAATGCCAAAAAGGGCACAAACAAAAGGAAAAAAATCTAACCTATCCACAGAAGCTACAAGGCTGGGGGAAGGGGGGAAGGGGGAGGTGGGGAACTATTGCCACCCACCCCTCCAGATCTTCCCCCCTCAAAACCGAAGGACAAACCGCATTTGCAAAAGGCACTGTCTGAGAAATGCTCCCTACGTTAAGCATGGGGGTGGGGGGGAGCAATGAAAGAAGGATGGGTGGAGAAGCATGCTCTCCCACCTTCGTCCCCACCCCCTCCTCCCCTTTGTGATCACATCCCATCTCCAAAAGCTGTCTCTAAGACCGAAGGCAGCTTCTGCTGCCCCAGCTGTGCTGTCCTCGAAGGACCTGGGGCTACCTAAAGCTCTGGGTCTTGGACAGGGGAACCCCAAACAGAACAGAGGCGATCAGATCCATAAGAGGAGAGGGGAGAGCAGGAAGATGGGGCAGACTGAGCCCCAAAGACTCTACTTCCCTTTCCCTTCCCACCTAAATGTTTATTCCAAAAGGGGAAGGAGCTTGAGTAAATCATGCAGTTCCCTTAAAAATGAAGAAAACCCAAACACACACAATCCACACCCGTACCTGCACACACATACATGTAAGGTCTCTGTTTCCTGCAGCTTTTAAATTAATCTGGCTAGTCCATAGAAAATAAGTATGTATATTTGGTTTTCCTATGTACATATATATATAGATAAGATTTATTTATAAAACCCAACCCCCTCCTCTACCCCCTCAGGGTGGAGTAGAAGGAGCTTGAGTCAAGGAGGGAAGAGGGGAAGTCAAGAAAAAGGGGGAGGGGTAGAGAAGTGAGGCTGCACAAATAGTAGGGAGGAAAGCCCTAGTCCTCAGGTTAAGGGGGGCACTGGGGTACCATTGACAGTCATCTTGCGCCCCCTGCTGGTAGATGGCGGTGTCTGCAGGCAGTTCGAGGTGCCGCCATTGGTGGTGGTGCCCCCCGGTGCAGATGTGGGGCTGGGGGAGGCTGGATGGGTAGTGGTAGGCCCATGGGAGCTGGGGGAGCCATGGGAGGGAGTCGCAGGGCTGGGCAGGGAGGAGGAGGTGGCAGGCAGGGTGGCGGGGCTGGGGGCCTTGTCGCTGACTGATTCGCACTCAGATGCCCCGCTGGTGTTGGTGCCTTCTGAAGGAGCGGGTACAGTAGGCAGTGGGAGCCGCTTACAGGCCGGCTGGACCCGGTACTTGAGGGGGAGAGGGCCATTCTGCAGGGGGGAGGGAGAGGAGCCGGGAGAGAGACAGGGAAGGAAAGGAAGGGTCAGGGGCAAAAGGCCCTCCTGCCCTACACGCCTCACCCCAAGAACATAACATCAGCATCAAGAGAAGATGAGGACAAAGACAGGAGGGAAACCAGCAAAAACAGCCAAAGATAGAAAGAGACACTGAGACGCCAGAAAGTTAAAGAAAAAAGGAATGAGGGTGAAAGAAAGAACTCAGTTCTGGTCAAGTGAATTACCCCAGCCTTGCCTGCCCCCACTCCCCCATCCCCCCACTCCCTTCCGGCTATCCCTAACGCTCACCCGTCTCCAAGGGTAAATGTAGGCAATGTCCATGAGTGTATAATACTCCTTCAGAGGTTCATCCTCATACAGCACCTCCACCTGGGGAAACGCCCAGCCCAGGATAGGGAGGGGGGAGAGAACAGAGGGTGACATCATGACCTGCCCAAGGAGACAGAGCTTTGCTAACAAAGGGGCCTTCCTAAGCTTACCAGACTTCCTCTCTGGAGGAAGGAGCGAACAGGTATCTGCGAATTCTCATCTGAGCTGGAAAGGCCTTTGGGGGCCATCCAGTCCAACCAATACTTATAGAAAAATCCTCTCTTTAACGTTTCCAACAAATAGTCATCCAGCCCACTGATGGGGGAGTTCACTACCTCCTGAAACCACTTATTCTATTTTTTAAAGTATTTCTAATTGTTAGGAAGGCACATATGATTTTTTTTGTGTATGAGAAAGCATTTAAAAAATTTTAATAATATTTCCCCCAATTACATGTTAAAATAATCTTTAACATTTTTTTTTAAAGTTTTGAGTTCCAAATTCTATTCTTCCTTCCTTCCCCACATCCTTCCCTAAGATGATAAGCAATCTGATACAGATTATACACCATGTGATTTTTGATGTTTCTTAAATGGAACCAAAATTTGCCTCTTTGCCATCATTCCTAGTTTGGCTGTTTACGGGCACAAGAAGAACAAATATAATCTTTCTTGGACAAGGACAGTCGTTTCAATACTCAAAGACAGCTATAAATGCCCCAGCCTTCCCAGACATCCATCTCTAGATTAAATAACACCCCCAGATTCCTTCAAATTATTTCCATTTGTCAGTTTCAAGTCTATTCATTAGAATGTGAGCTCCTGGAGTTCAAGGCCCATTTTGCCTTTTTTCTATCTGTCTCCCTAGCACTTAGCACAGAGCTTTGCATGTAGTATGTACTTAATGCTTCATTCATTCATTCACCATCATGGCCACCATTCCCAGCTTGTCATGTTCTTCCCAGACTGTGGCGCCCAGAACTGAACACTCCAGATTTGGTCTGCTCTGGACACTCATTTTACAAGTGATTAATGATTATTTAATGATTCTATTTGATTAATTAAAATCAAAGCAGCTTTTAAAAAAACACTTATGGTCTCATACTGAACTTGCAGTCCATTGATTGAACCCCATGGGCCTTTGTCATTTGAAATATGTCTAGACATGTTTCCCCGATTCCATACTTGTACAATTGAGTTTT